TCAAGCAAAGATCAATTGAAATTGATTTACAGAACTCCTCCAGTGTTGTCTTGTATTGTTCAATGTATTCCTTAGCTTCAGTGACTTCAAATTCTTCAACTACAGTTTCTAACAGTTCAATATCAGTCAATGAACACTCTCCTTTAACTACATCTAATACATCAGATATGTCTGAACAATTTTTTAGCTTTGCCTTTAAATCAAAATTGCATGACATAATTAGCAATTTAATGTCCTCTATCAATGGAGGCTTCTTCAATATAGCTTTGTGCACTTTATACAGCATCCTTCCAAGTGAAGTTCTTATTGAACTAAATTCTCGTGATTTACTCTTTCGAACAGGAATTTCAACTAAAGATTTGTTATAATAACACAATAATTATTGTTATTTTATACCTTCTTCTTCAATTGTAACATTAACAAATTCATCATTAGAAATCTGCTTATCTAAATCAGGAAAAATTATTCATAATTCATTAGATTAACTCACCATAGTCTCTTTGTATAGCTGTTCCTAGCTTCGCATTACCAGTGAACTTGCACAACACACTAGCAAATGTTTGTAGTAAACTATACTTGTTTTGAATAACTTCTCTAATGGCAGCTAACAGGACTTCACGTTGATTAGGAACAGAGGACCTAGCTGATTTTACACTAGCCAATACTTTTCCTGTTATGACACCCTCTCTTTGAAGCATAGTAGCTACACTGACAGGATCAGAGAGAGACTGAGAGAGGAGTGAATGATGAGTCTTGAATATATCAATAGCCACTCCTGTATTATGTTCTATAGAATACATACACATACAGTCTAATCATGACAATGAGCACTTTCCCTCACATTCACACCTATGCATATTGCATGATACTTATGCACATCTGACTCCATGTATGCATGCACACAATTGAAAACCACTCAAAGTCAAAAGGCCAGAATGGAGACGTAAATATCAACATCTCCTCTTTCAATATTATTTGTAATGGTATTTTTAATTATTTGTTTTATGTTGTCTATTATTTGTAATGCCAGAATTGCCCACCACTAGCACATATCATACTGCTATCTATAGATCTATAGTCCTGCCCATTTCTTGGCTACTATACATGTCATGTTAACAGGTGTAACAAAAATTATGTCATGAATGTCATTATTGGTCACAAACTGTTATCTTAAAATAATGGGCGAAGTTAAGTAAGTATAAACCCTATAGGGCGCTAACTTCTAGAAGCAATTATATACAACCGTATATGAGACACTATTTGTAATCTTTCGTATCCTATCCGCATTTTTTAATGAAAAAATTTCAAAATTATCTTGCTGGATGGCAAAACCAATAGATAGGAGGTCAAAAGCAGCCTTTGTGGACAAGTCACTTCAAGGGCAATGAAGCATTTTTCTCAGGAGACATTTTGGGCTTTATTCTTGACCGTTACTGGCATTTATTACCAGTTTGCCACTCAAGCAAACTCTGGAAGCCACAAAAGCCTCTTGTTCCATTGCTGTCCAAATCATGAGTGTGGGTGGATATCATAATGCAATACCGTATAGGGGTTATATTTCATTGGAAATAAATTTCGTGAATTTCGCGTTTTCATTAAATTCGCGAAAATAATTTCCACAAAAGAGGTGTGGCACACTAGGAAAAATGGCTGCAGAAGGTAGATTCGTGAAAATTTATACCAACAAAATAAAACCACTATACGGTAATTACTTGCAGAAATTAGCACCCTATAGGGTCTATATATTCCATACGTATTGATCCATGCTATGTAGCCTAGCTGCTAAATAATAATATAATCTAAACACCACCATTTTTGACAGCTAGACAACCAGACTGTATAGATTTAGTCTCACGTAGCCAGACTCCTCCCCTTAAAGGGGAGGAGTCTGGCTATGCGAGATTAGTATAGATTTACTAACCTTCATCTCTGAATTGACTCCTGATTTCTTCTGCTGCAGTTTTGTCT